GAAAGAACCTTGAATCCCAAGTGATCAAAGAGAAAGAAGAAAAACAATGTATCCAGACTCCAGCCTCTAAGTGGCAGTGTAACTGCTTTCCTCCTGTTGTTACAACCCTCTTTATAATCCTTCTTATTATCTTCTTTATATTCCAAGCAATTCGACACACTTTCTCTTTCCACTTTCTTCCTGTTCCGGAGCTGTCCCAACCTCAGCAGCTTCATTAGCTGCGTTTCTGTCACCGAAAAAAGGGGATATTCTTGGATCTTTCAGGGACTTTGTGGTGTGCCTGAGATCAGCGGGAGGTGCCCTTCTCAATCACCGTCTCTGTGGGATGGTTTAGGTCCAAATGGACCATCCAGCGGCAGAAATTCGACTGCGATCTTGGAAATCCAAGATCGCACGTTGTGCCATCACGACATCAGATCTCCTCTCTCAATCGAGATAGTTCTGAGACAAAAACAACTGGTCAATGTATAGTATAAAAATGGACAACCTGAGACCTATTATGCGTGCTGAACACCTAGCAATCTTAGACTAATGGTGAAAGACCTCTAAGTTTGCAATTCAGTAATGCAGTCAACCTAAGGAATTTGTGAACAGGACATAATAACAGGTGACATTCAATTTTATACTCCAATCACGTGACAACTGTTATACTACTAGAGTGAGAATTATTCCTAAGGTGCTGAAAGTTTTAAATGCTAAGCCAGGAAATGAAATCTCCTCACGATAGACTTTTTGTGCTGAGGAAAGGCATTAAACATTTATTAAGTGGAAGAAAACTATGGAGCAAAAAGCCCATTTCCATCAGTCTTCCCCATCACTTTTTCATGGCATGTGAAAACAAATGAATAGACTTCTTCACAGTTCCTTTCATAATACTTTACCTGGAAGGCAAAACTAATGAAATTAGCATAATAAAATATAATGAAAACAGGGCCAGTTTGGTCTACTGGTAAAGGCGCCTGGCTAGAAACCAGGAGATTGTGAGTTCTAGTCCCGCCTTGGGCATGAAAGTCAGTTGGATGACTTTGGGCCGGACACTTTCTCTGAGCCCAACTCACCTCACAGGTTTGTTGATGTTGTGGAGATAAATAGGAGGAGGAAGATGTGTTTGGATATGTTGGCCACCTTGAGTTATTTGTAAAAATGATAAAGGCGGGATAGAAGTAAACAAACTCAAAACTTAATCATCTAAAAAATACAAATAATTACAGGTCCTAAACTATTTTAAGGATTTTTTTTTTAAAAAAAATCACCCATACTTAGAGAGGAGGCTTATGTTTCACACTTACTTTCCTTTGGTACAATTCCTCAGGGGTTGTGGATCTCAGATTCACAAGCCGGTAATTCTTTATAATTGTGCGAGGACGTTTCCTGGAAGGAGCGAAACGCTCCATTTCGGTTACAAAATAAAGTCCTTGCTTGAGGTAGCCAAAATAGCGGGCCTTGGCAGACATTTCATCGTCTGAATCCGAGTCATCTTCTCCTTCATCTTCATCACCGGGCCTGCCCTCTGAGCGCAATCTCTTTGGAGCAAACTTTACCTCGCACTGCAAAGAAAGCAATTCTTACTAAACAGCACAATGTATCACACTTAAAAGTCTGTCAGGCTTCAGCACCCAAAGAGGCAATAAGCTGCCACAAAGCCGCTGGAAGCAAAGAGAAGCAAGCAGCAAGAAGGCAAACAAACAAACAAGCACCAGAAAATGATTTCCCTCTCAAGCAACCAGGTTATTTCGCTGGATGGGACATTAGCATAACTCTCACTCCATAAAGATATGGTACATCCCAATAAATTAGAATATTTCTTAGAGAGAGTTGGGGAGGAAGAGGCATTTGAATTCCGCACATGATTTTTTTTTGTAACAAATAAAATGCTGATATGAAATTGGCTGCCTATCGGTCTCCGGATACGCTTCAAGGTGCTAGTCGTCACTTATAAAGCCCTTCATACTATTGGACCTGGGTACTTGAGAGACCTCCTCCTGCCAATTACCTCCCAAAGACCCATCAGATCCCACAGATTAGGCCTCCTCCGGATTCCATCTACCGGCCAATGTCGATTGACTACTACCCGGAGGAGAGCCTTCTCTGTGGCTGCTCCGACCCTCTGGAACGAACTCCCCGTGGAGATTCGGACTCTCACTTCCATTCAGGCTTTCTGTAAAGCTGTTAAAACCTGGCTGTTCCGGCAGGCCTGGGGTTGACGAGTTCCCTTCCCCGCTCGAATTGTGTGACTGTTGATTGTTTTTTTTAAAAAAAAATTCTCTGTATCTGCTTGTTGTGTTGCCTTGTCTGTACCCCCCCCCCCCGGTTTGTTAGCCGCCCTGAGTCCCTTCGGGAATAGGGCGGCATAGAAATGAAATAAACCTATAAACCTATAACCTATAAGAAGGAAATGACGTCACTACACAACATACTCCTGCATTAGCAATTGTGCCTACCAAATATTAAAAATTACCTTATTTTTCGGACTATAAGATGCACCAGTGTATAAGACGCACCAAGATTTTGAAGAGGTAAGTAAGAAAAAAAAGGTTTTGCCCTCCCCGGCCCCCAGGAGCACTCTGCATGCTTCAGCAGGGCTGGGGGAAGGCAAATCCGCCCGTTTTTGCGAAAAAAAGGTGGAAAATGGGCCATTTTTTGCAAGAATTGAGGCGTTTTTCCTTCCCCCAGCCTGCTGAAGCCTGCAGAGTGCTCCTGGGAGCTAGGGGAAGGCAAAACCGCCCCTGTTTTTGAGAAAAACAGGTGGAAAATGGGCCATTTTTCACAAAAATGGGGGCATTTTTGCCTTCCCCCAGTTCTACTGAAGCCCGCAAAGTGCTTCTGCGGGCTGGGAGAAGGCTAAAATGCCCCCGTTTTTCGCAAAAATGGGATGTGGGAGTGGGGCTTCGAGAAGCAAAAAATGCCTGTATTCGGTGTATAAGACACACCACACTCTTTTAGGGGGGAAAAGGTGCATCTTATACTCTGAAAAATACGGTATTCTTAAAGCGTTTATCTCCAGTGCAAACCTATATGGTTCTGCGTGTGATTGTGGCTATTAACTATCTTGTTTCTGAATAAATAAAAAGTTAAAATAATTAGAACTAACCAACACTGCACTGTAAACATGCCCATACATAAAAGGTATGTATGTATATCCATACATGTGGAGAACACTGAAAATAATTAGCTAACACCTGGTTATACCTAAAGCTCAAGGAAATGAAAACATATTTGCACTAATACAGGTAGTCCTTGACTTACAACAGTTCATTTAGTGACTGTTCTAAGTTACAATATCATTGAAAAAAAGGGACTTATGACCACCTTTCACAATTATGACCGCTGCTGCATCCCCGCGGTCATGTGATCAAAATTTGAATAGCAATAGCACTTATCTACAAAGGGCTGTAAAAGCATGGTGCTTTTACAGCCCTCTCTAAGCGGTTTACAGAGTCAGCCTATTGCCCCCCAACAATCTGGGTCCTCATTTTACCCACCTCGGGAGGATGGAAGGCTGAGACAACCTTGAGCCGGTGAGATTTGAACTGTTGAACTGCAGCTAGCAGTCAGCTGAAGTAGCCTGCAGTACTGCACTCTAACCACTGCGCCACCACAGCTCTTGCTTGGCAACTGGCTTATATTTATGATGGTTGCAGTGTCCTGGGATGATGTGATCACTGTCTCTGACATTCTGACAAGCAAAGTCAATGGGGAAGCCAGATTCACTTAACAACTGGGTTACTAACAGCTACAGTGGTTCATTGACTGTGAATCAGTGTAGCACAGTGGCAAAAAAAAGACCATAAAATGGGGGGAAATTCTCTTACTTAGCAACAGAAATTTTGGGCCCAAATTGTGGTCGTTAAGTCGAGGACTATCTGTAATGACCAAAATGACCTGAAAAAATAATATATAAAGAATTTGGAGATAATAGTAAGCAGGAGCCAGAGAAGTATGTTATGTTATGTTCGTCTTTTTATCCCCTGTCTGTACCCCCTTCCCTGACTGAATTGTGAGCCGCCCTGAGTCCCCTTTGGGGAAAAGGGCGGCATATAAATGTAATAAATCCAATCCAATCCAATCCAAGTATGAAACAAGGGAAAACACCAAGGGGAAGAAAAAAGTTAAATTAAGAAAGAGGAGGCTAACAACATAATCTTCTATATGTCTACTCAAAAGTAAACCATAATGAACTCAAAATACCTTAGTCTCAGATGGCTAAATATAAGCCAGTGGTAGTCAACCTGGTCCCTACCGCCCACTAGTGGGTGTTCCAGCTTTCATGGTGGGCGGTAGGGGTTTTGTTTGATACAGAAGCACTTTCTTTTTTAAAATTTAATTGACTTTTTTTAAAAAAA